TTTAACTTAACTACTTTTATAAACACACGCTATAATTCACAGCGATTCACACTCTTTATTTATGGTGCCTACTGTTTGCTTGACTCAATTATTTATCTATCTATGCAATTCTATCTTTTTTCTCTGGTTTTATTTGCCGGGCTTAAATACTAAAAAAGAGGGCGCCTGGAACAAACTAGAGTTACCAGGAAAATTCATGATCCTTCTAGAAACTCCAGCGCTCATGCTCCCAGCGTTGCGTGACTTCCGCTGTCGTAACAATGTATTAGCTATTTCAGTCATTGGCTATCATATACCTACATGTATGCACTACTAAAATAACATCTTAGCATGCTCCATTCTTCTGGGGGTGCTTTCTCATAAATAACTTACATACACGTTCAATGTTGATAACAGTATCATAATGATTATGTATTAAAGCTAGAGCCCTGTCTTTCTTCGGTTTGTGTACACCTCAGGTAATTATTCAACCGGCGGAGAGCAGATGCCGAACGTTCCCATGAACATAAACTTAGTGGCATTATGTTTTTACATGGAAAAAAAAATAATAGAGGGTTCAGCGGAAACTCTCTGCGTACATGCGTGGGATTAATTATAAACGTCACTTCTGTAGCTGCTATACCGTTTCTTGTGGATGAAAGGGACGTTTTAAGCTTTTTTTAGTGCACCTAAGATTAATTTATATCTGATCTAGTTACTTTGACCCGAAAACAGAACCATTCAACTACAGTTTAGTTGTGAATTTGATAGACAAAAATGTATTTTTCACCTTCAACCCTCAAATTATTGTCTTGTTTATATACCATTTAAAGTCCACATATTGAATAATATTATGTTTTTTCTTGTTAAAATATCTAGTATCAAGAAAAAAGAAGAGGGCAAAATTACTCATTTTCTATGTATAATACATGTAATAAAACTCGGCAATAATTAATAAGATTAATGTAACACTGATAGTATTCTTGTTTACAATTTTATTTGTGATTCATGTCATAGTAGGAACACTAACCAATAATGTCATTGACCCACAAGCAATTTGATTCATAAATAATTTAGATCTTTTTTCTTTCTAAAAGCCGATGGGTTCCTTGGACTCCTTTGGTAATTTTAGGGTTAAAAGAAGTGTACAATTTTGTATTACTATTAGCGAAAGCGGTAAGGCTTTTTTGAAACGGCAGAAGATAACTAACTCCATTAAAGTCTTAAATTGTTACTGACTTTACCATCTTAAAGTAATTAAGCAAGCTATTATTATTATTATCGGGTGCGTGTTTAGTGCTGATTTATGTCAAAGACTGCCAGTTTTAATGAAACTACATAATTAGAAAAACGGCAGAACGAGACATTGAAAAATCAAACTTGACGTCGGTGATTTTTGTAAAAACAATTTGTAATGCATAACTTTACACACTCACGGTTTTTATTATGTTGTGTATAATATTTAGTTAATATTGGAAAGACTGAGATCGGGTATTCCTGTGTATGCGTGCGCCCGAAGTTGTATGTTTGAATGTGTAGTTATGAGCCTCTCACGACTTTATGATTTATATGCTGTTCGCCAGACATTGTCATTCGCGTAAGGGGGAAATTCCTGGCAAAAAAAAAAAAGTTGAGTTCAGATTATGATTTCGTAAGTAGTTGTGTGCTTTTTTCATTTCACTTCTATAAAGGGAAATTCCTGTAAGGAAAACATAAAACTGGGTTCAAATTAAACGTCTAGCAACCGATTGGATCATTATTTGATTTTACTCGTACAGTACAATATTTCAGAAATATTTTGTTACTAAAATATGGACTTGAGATTTATGTCTGTTATTTTTAGAAAAACATTATATGTTTAATTGTATTTATATATGCTTAGGTTTGTATATATTAAATTTCTTAAGCCTTTTTATTTTATTTTCAGGTTCCATCATCACAAAGAAATAGTAAGTATACATCTTTTAAATTAATGTATTTTGTTTGCTACATCAGTGATCTTGAAGTTAATAAGGGATTTCATTTGAGTTATGGAAAGCTTGCATGATCTTTCCCAATAATCCGTGAAATGTGAAATGGCGTTACAAGTAGATATTGAAATGGATATAATATTTTTTTGGTTAAAAGCGTTTTCGATCACAACAATATTCTTACGTATTTATAACTTCTATTTTTAGTACATATAACAGCTGGTGTATACAAGTTAAATCGAAATTGACCCTGTGTGATACTTATTAACAATCGGGAACAAATAATACTATATAGCTTGTTTCTTCGTATTAATAGATCATTTATAGTAACTTTAGTGTAGAATTTACATAATCAGGTTTTATTATTGAGTGTTTTGACGTACAAAGATGACATGTTATCAATTAACATTGAATTTTAATAGTAAGTACAATGTATAATTAACGTAATCAGGTACTATTATTGGATGTCTTCACGTGCAAAAATGGCATGTTATCAATTAACACTGAACTTTAAGTAGACTAATAGTTGTTAATTTTCTGAAACCTGTTGGATTTGAATAAAATCTGTGTATGTCGCGTAGCATTACTAATCGTCAGTTCACAGTTTAAGGGATAATATATCAATATAAAATATTTTTATTGTGAAAAAATTGACGTGGATCTGATTTTTGAATACCATTTTAGGCAAAGACACTTAATTGTTATTTGACCTACATCATTCGTTTGACTTAGGCAAGGAACTGTAGAATTTACATTACCAAAATATCTGAAAAAACAAAAACAATATGACACTTCAAAGTAGCTTCATTTGAAAGTTGGGGGTAAATCTGAATTGCATATATATATATATGTACTATTGTATAATGTTTCACAGACATTAAGTCCATCTTGATATTCAATTTTGAAGCAATCAACCATATAGTTTGTTGACCCAATAAGTAGTTTTTCTAATTATAATATCACTAGATAAAGCAAGGAAGGAAAGCTTAGAAGTGGGAGTAATTGTATGTTTTAAACCAGAGGTCGCAGAAAGGCTATATAATTATGTAAGGGAAGTTAGGTAAAACGTAAAACCTTTGTTATAAACCCTATATCTGAGATCTACAAAAACTACTATAGAAGAGGTATGTAACTACATATACATGGTATCTAAAGTGGAAAAGGCCTAAACTCTTTGTTATGAAAACATATACTTAAATGGGGTGTTTAAAATGTGAAAAGTACCCAAGGGATAAAAATAAATAAAATGGTCTGTGGGCCAAAACATTTGAGAACCATTGTTTTAAAGGACACTTTAGCTTCGGTAAAAAAGCCAAGGGACGATGAAATTTCTTGTATGTTATTAGAATATGCTACAAAAGACGAAAGGACAAAGAGTTTTGATAGTAACATGCATCTTTCACGACCAGAAAAGAC